TCTTAAACTGGACCGGAGGGCCGGAACAAAAGCATGGATGGAGTGTTTGTGTGAACTAATATAAATTCAAAGTAAACATCATTACATAAAAGGGTACGGTCTTTTTTTTTTTTTTAGTTTTTTCATTTCAAATGGGTCGGATCCGGCCCGCGGGCCGTAGTTTGCCCACGGCTGGACTAGCTAAATATTTTAAGGAGGAAAGAAATCAAAGTGGAAAACTGCCAGAAATGTTAGAAAAACTGTACAAAGATATTGCTGGAAAGTTGCTTTATGGCAAAAAACAAAAAACAGAGAAATGTTTATAGTGTTTTACTCTCCTAGGAAGCAGCACAAACATAGGAATCTGTACAGTCCTTCTCTGCAGTATAAGCTGGAACTGAAGGGGATTGAGGCCCCCAGAATTCCCAATTATCCTGAATGGAATTATGGCATATACACTCTGGTGTTATCGTCATTAACAAGAACCTCACATTCCCACAGAATTGATTTAATTTCTAATCTATAGATTTCCCCCAAAAAGCTTACAAATAAGGCAAGCTAAGAGTATATTGTATTTTTCTGGGTTGACATAATATACCAGTTTACTAATCATTTCAAGGTCAGCTACATTGTCAAAGTCTCCCACGCGGTGCCCTGTTCCCAGAATGGTAATCTACCCTTCCCAACAATTTACCACAGACTTTAGCCTCCTCCTCCAAGGCAGTCCAATGAGTCTGCTCTGAAGGGCCCAGCAATCAGCAACACTGTGACCAGCCACACCCTTACCCCACCCAAAACATCATGGCTTTTATTTTACCTCAGGAGTCGGAACAGCCAGGGTGTGCTAGGCTGGGAAGGTTGGAAGAGCTATGAATTACTAGGCTTGCACCGGAAGAATCGTCATCAGGTTAAAGGGTTTACATAATACCAGGGCTCCAGGTGCTTTCTGTTAAAACTAGTAAAAGGTGTATACCTTGACTGTCACAAAGCACACTACTGTATGATGGCATAACGAGATTGTTAAATGTGTTTATATCTCTGCTACAAGGATAGTGTCTTTGCAAATACAGTGGGGCCTTGACTTATGAGTGTCCCGGCTAACGAGTTTTTTGAGATACCAGCTGTCTCTCGGCTGATTTTTCGCATTGAGTTGATTGAGTAATTTGAGTTAACGAGCTCCTTAATGAGCTCGGTCTCAGAATGAATTAATCTCGTAAGTCAAGGCCCCACTGTATTTAAAAGATGCATTTGAATTTTCCCCTTATTCCTATTTCCCGGAAGCCTTCCATCTCTACAACTGAGTTTCTCCTGACCTATCTTCCCGTTCTTCTGCTATTTGTCTAATCTGATGCTAAATGCTTTTATTGAATTCTTACTTTGTTACAAAATTTTTGAGAATTCTAGAGTTTTTCTTTTTTTCAAATCTGCTGTCATTTTTTTTTTATAGTTTTACTTTCCTGACAGAATGTTCATGCTTGACTTTTACATCCTTGAACAAAAGAAGCTTTTTAAAAAAGTCTATATCTAATGAACCTCACACCTGAAGCCTGTTTTCCTTGTCTGTTGTTTTTGCTGATCATGGCTTATGGTGTCTTATTACTTGTGTGCTCAGTAATTTTTGGTTGTGTACTGGACATTGTGTATAAAAAAATTATTTGTAGAAATAATTTGAGATCTATTATCTTCCTCCAAGAAGGAATGTCAATTGTATTATTTTATTTTATTTACTTACTAGAGGCCTGATGAATGAAATTCGTGCAAGAGTAGGCCTTCCTTCCCCCAGCTTCCGGGACCGGCTTCCCTCTGGCACCCAGGACCCAGGCTTCCCTCTGGCCGCCAGCAGGCATCTGGGACCCAGGCTTCCCTCGCAGCTCTGGCTTTGTCCAGAAGGATGTCCAGTCTAATTAGCATATTACTCTTTTATTATTATAGACTAGAGGCCTGGTGCACAAAATTCATGGGGGGGGGGAGGGGGTCCCCCCTCAGCCCAGCCTGCACCCTCTCACAATCCTGGACTGCTGGCTCCTAATCGCTCACCTGCCTGCCTGCCTGGTCACCCCTAATTTCCCCCCCCCGCCAGCCAGGTCGCCCCCAACTGCCCCCTCCCTGCTGGCCTGGTCGCCCCTAACTGCCCCTCGCTGCTGGCCAGGTCGCCCCTCACGGCCCCCCCCACCAGCCGGGTTGCCCCACGCAGCCTGCTTGTTCAGTCATTTGGTCGTCCCTCACTAACCCCCCTGGCAGCCTGGTTGCCCCACGCAGCCTGCTTGTTCAGTCGTTTGGTCATCCCTCACTAACCCCCCTGCCAGCCTGGTCATAGGCCACCATCTTGTGAGGGCATGAGGGTTAATTTGCATATTGCCTCTTTATTATATAGAATTTTTCCAGGTATCTAGTGACAGCCAGAATCACCTTAATCTCACAGTTCAGGGCTAGAGACTTTTTATCCACCAAGATCAGGGCCTCTCAAACTGACATCACCTGTGTGTGGATCTAATGTAGTAGAACTGAGGCAAGACTTGAGACGCCACAGTTTTAACAAGTCCCCAGGTGATTTCAGTGTTTGTGATGGTACATTGTATGTCTCAACCTGACTGGCCACAGGTTGCACAAATTAAACATTATTTCTGGGTGTATCTATTAGGGTGTGTCCGGATGAAAGTAGTGTTTGAGTCCATAGACTCAGTAAGTAGATTGCCCTCCTTAATATAGATGGGCATTATATGGTCCATTGAGGTCCACAGAGGTCGATGAATAAGAAAGAGGCTGAGAAGGAAAAAAAAGATAGTTAATCTAATTTACTTGTGGACATTCTCAGAATAGCACACTAGTAAAGGAGGAGTTGCACTAGTGTCCTCTAGTGGACATTCTGAGAACAGCACCCTACTAATGAATTGTAACCGTCTGCACTAGAAATTAACAGAAATTTGGGGAGATGCAGAAAGCCAGAGGAGATAAGAAGGAAATCCCTAAAGCACATGATGTGGAGGAGACAAAAGATTTTTAAAAACAATAGAATATATAATTATTCTACTTGAAGATGTTTGAATTTCTATAATGTAAACCACCCCCCCCCTCTCTTTCTAGATGTTCAGTAGAGTATGCTGTCCACTGAAACACATGGTGTGAGTGCTTTATTTTACTTTGGAGGAAGTCAAGTAAAGAACCCACTTCTATGTTTGCTTGGCACAGCACCGAGACAGTGCTTGCTGTCTGCGTGTAGACCTGCTTCCCCAGAACTTTGGGAAATACTGAGCACCTGCTGAGTGCCAGGCACTTCTAGGTGTATTAAATGCACCCTCTCCTTGCATTAACCTTGCATTGTAGCATAATCCTATTTAGAAATTCAAGAGTGGGACTATCTGTGAACTGAAATATGACAGTGGGAAGAGGACAGTGAGAGGTAACCATAAACATGTGAACCTTGCCCCGTAACCTACCGCAATTCACAGAAATCTTGGGGAGGACACTGTGAATTTAGGAGGGAGCGGAATGGGGTTCTGGCTCTCTTATCCGGGGCCCAAAAGCCAGGAGACCCCAGCTGGCATCTGGGTCACATAACCTTGCAATATTGTCAGGGGATGATGTTGGTAAAGCACTTGGTTCAATAGAGGGTCAATAGTCAGTAGTTACTACTCAAGCTGTCTTTCGTATTCTGACTGGCACACTTGGCAATCAGGATCCAGAGATAAGGGATTTTTCAGTTAAGCTACACTTCCTACCACCCCCACCTGCCTAGCACAGTACTATGGATATGATAGACACTAAGTAAATGTTTGTTGTTGTCAGCTTCTCCACGTTCCCCAAGCATGAATAGGCTCAAGGACTGTCTCATTACTAAGCACTGATGCATAGTAAATTACCCCAATACATAGTTATTAAGACAATAGTTATTATCTGACTAGATGGTTGGGCTTAGGTCTCTCATGAGTTGCAATCAAGATGGCAAGTGGGGAAAAAAGCAAGCAAGCAAAGGAAACACAAAAAGATGGCAAATGGGGCTAAAAAACAACTTGAAGCTTGACTTGGGCCGGAAGTTCCACACCTTAGGTGGGTCACTCCCATGGCTATTGGCAAGTTCCTTACCCCTTCCCACCGGGCTGCTCATGACACGGCGGCTGGCTTCTCTCAGACCCAAGAGAGGAGACTAAGGCAGGACCACAATATCTTTTATCACCTAAGCTTGGAAGACACATGCCATCTCTTTCACTTTATTCTTCTCATCAGACGCGAGTTAGTAAGTCTAGCCCACACTCAAAGAGAGGCAAATTAGGTTCCACCTGGGGAAGGCAGTACCAAATCATTTGTGGACATATTTTCAAAACCACCATGGGGCATAATGTCTTGCATATGGCTGTGTGCTCAATATGACACGTTTACTAAGTAGATCCAAGGAACGCCCTTAGATTGTGACGTAAACCCTTTGGAAATTCTCTCTCTTATCATTTTTATCTCTGCCCCCAAAGATAAAACAACATTCAGAGCCCATTCCAGGTCTATGATGTTATGTGCCTCCCTGAAGAGCATTCCAATCACTATTTCTATGGAGACCATGCTCTTGGGCTGAATTCTCCCATCATCTATCTGCTTAATTCTAGGGAAGAAATTTCACTCCATGGGACCCCTCTGTGTGCTGAGGTGTGCTCCCTGAGCTGGTGCCTGACTGATTGGAGACATCACAGCCACAGAGTGAGATAAGCATGGGAGAAAAGACAGGTGATCCTACCACAGGTCGGAGGAGGAGGATGATAGGCATGCTGCTACTGCTGAGTCAGCAATAGGTTTTTGTCCATACTATTCTTCTAACAATTAGACTTACTATTGAAACATTTCCCCCTGCTTTGTCCCAAGAGGGATTTAAGACTGCTTGATTTTTGTAAATAGTTCTTCCAGCTCATCAATAAATCAATTTCTTATTTTAAAGCATTACAAAGGTAAAACATTATAATGATTTTATCTCTAGTAGTAAAACTTTCTTATATCACCCTACATTGTTATTTTTATAAAAAATAACAAAAACAATTTGGAGAAATATTTATTAAACAATATATTTTATAGATTGATAGAATTTCCCACTGAATAGATACCATACATTTTCAAAATTGAGCGGTTTTGTGTATGTCGTTTCCCACTTTCATCCATCTTTTCTTTTTATTTACTTTTTGTTTTCCTTAGACTTTCTCAGTCAGTGAATTCTTGTTTTAAATAGTTCATAAAAAGTATTTCGGTGTACTCATATGAAAATGATGGTTGTTCTCATAATTGTGTCCTTCTTTGTAGGATCCAAATCTAAAAAAAAGTAATTGACATGTAAAAACCATTCAGAAAGGTATGCTCTTATGTAAAATTTCAACTATAATTCATTGTGCTTTTACTTATCTATCATACAACCTGGAGAGATGTGATCAATTTATAAGATAGAAAATGAAGAAATAAAAAAGGATTCGTGCATCTGGGAATGGCAGACAAACATTTTAACCTTCAAAGTCCTCTTTCCATGGTTATGGATCACTCCAAAAGCACAGACAGCTGTTTAAGAATTATTGGCTGATAACCTTA